GCCCACCCCGACGACCCCGACGACCCCAATCGATGAGTCGGGCTCTCTCCCAACTGTTGGGTGCACCGATACGGAGGTCAGCGTCCTCGGCGACGCCACGTACTGCATCAAGGGCAACGGGTGCTCGGGCTCATCGAAGGCCGGTGTCTGCCCCTTGGCGTATGCGACGGCCACCGCCGACTGCGTGCCAGGCATCCCGTCCTACGACCCGATCACACAGACGTGCTCGCTGCCGGTCGACACGGAATGCTCGGACCTTGGCAATGGAGCATTTGGGTGCGTTCCGATTGCTTCGCAGACGTTTGCGAGCGGCAACGAAGCTGCGGTAACGTCCGAGACCCGCACGGACGCTCCCACCGACGCCCCGACCGACGCTCCCGCCGAAGCAACGGATGCGCCGACAACGGCTTCGACCGAATCCGACGAGGTCACGGATGCTCCCACAGATGCCGAAACTGATGCTCCTACGGACGCTGCCACGGACGCTCCCACGGACGCCCCGACTACCGCCGCGACCGAGTCGGACGAGGTCACTGATGCTCCCACTGACGAAGTCACCGACGCTCCCACCGACGCCGAAACCGATGCTCCCACGGACGCCCCGACTGACGCCCCGACCGAGCTGACGGCGAGCGCCAACGAAGACGCGGCGACGTCTGAGACGCGCACGGAGGAGCCGACTGAAGCCACCACCGACGCTCCCACGGACGCTCCCACCGACGCTCCCACCGATGCGCCGACGACGGCTTCCACCGAGTCGGACGAGGTCACTGATGCTCCCACGGATGCCACCACGGACGCTCCTTCGGACGCTGCTACGGACGCTGCCACCGACGCCCCGACTACCGCCGCGACCGAGTCGGACGAGGTCACCGACGCTCCCACCGACGAAGTTACCGACGCTCCCACCGATGCCGAAACCGATGCTCCCACGGACGCCCCGACTGACGCCCCGACCGAGGTGACGGCGGCTGCGTCGAACTTTGTTTCGGTCCAAAACGCCGGCGCTGTGTCCACCAGCGTCGGTGTCGTGAACATTGCTGCTGCTGCCGTCGCCTGCGCGGCTCTTGTCGTGGCGATCGCGGCGGCGGTGCTTGCGACCAAGAAGAGCCGCGCGCCGGCGGTGGCCTCGGTCTTGCAGGACGAGGCTGTCGACGAGGTCACGGCTGTCAAGGCGCAGGACGACGATGTGGCCGTCGAGGTGTTGGAGTGCTAAGTGCATCTGCCACTGTGCCGCGCGTCTCTCTCGTTCCATTTGTATACTTGCATTGAGTTCGTAACCCGTTAATCAAACATGCTGATTGACACAAATTGCACCGAGTAACTTAAAGGATTGTTGGTGTACAGGAAGAGCCACAGGTTGTTGTTACACATTCTGTTGCGGAACGAAAGCCCAGGGCTCAAAGTGAGAGCTTGAGTTTACATCACGTTCATATACCTTCTTTACATGGAGGCGCAACGAGAGACGACTTTGTGCTGCGATAACTGAGCACCACCACAGACAGCTGGCTACAGCTAGCACATGTACCATCGAACGACGAACCGATAACATATCCTCAGAGCGATTGCGTGCCCAACAGAGAAGGAGTAGTACACATCACATAATATCCTTGCGGGGGCATAATGATCAAGTACACGGCGACCTATTCAGCCCTATTGATTCAGCTCTACGTTTCAAAGCACAATGTGGATAGTTTGCGGAAGATTGCCATTCTCTGTTGCTTGCCTGACGCATGACAAATTGGACGTCTCGGCGACTTCTTCTCGTCTCTTGAGAAAAATTATGAGTGCCTTCTCTGGTACTAGTACTCCATATCAGGCAAGCGGGTACCAACGCGGATGGAATGGCGAGTCAATGGCTCCGTGGGTACCGGTATTGCTCATCCATGGCCCTGATGGATCGATGGATGGTCCTGAATTTGATGCAAAGCTGGCAAAGTAGAAGCTTCCATAACGCCAAGTAGCCATGTCGACAGCTCGCAGTACTTCAACTCTGTCGCGATTCAGGTCTTATAGTTGGTATTCAACGACGGCAGAGATCCTATTGCGATCTTTCTTGAACGGTGTCGCCTAGGTCGGTCGTTGCGATTCCAGCCAATCCACGCGCAGTCGTTTCCCTTGCCTGCCCTGTGATTGGCCTGCGCAAAAGATGCGACATCACAAGCGATGTGATTGGCTTCCACCAAAGATTCCTAGTCCGAGCGATCTTCCTGCAAACGCGGTGGCATTTCATTTTCATTTCCCATTTTCGCTCGACCTTCGCAGCAGCACCATCATGTTCTCG